CCCCTCCACTCCCCGCACACAAACACACACAGTGCCACACAATCAGGTCACTCAACCCACAACATTGTGTGGGCCACTGTTTTGCACATTTGACTACCACGTTTGACCCGCACAATACAATCTAACGCCCCACACACCTCCCACCACTTCACCTCCTCCAATCCACACCCGAACACTATCCCCCACCCACAGTGCCAAAAAATAAGGCATCTCAAACCACAATGTTTTGTGGGACACTGTTGTACACAATTGGCCTCAAACAATATAGTGACTCCACTTTTCTGCGTCTTCTGTGAAGAGCTTTGACAAGTCTCAATGACGTAATTTGGCAGTGTATAAAATGCAACCTTTGATTTTATTACCGTTAATGTTAAAATGTTGAATAAGACATGCCCCTACAATCGCTTTCATTATTCGTGTTTGAGAAATGCTTTTATCAAATGCAGACTTGTCATTTCATCGATTCGCCTCAAACCTCCTCTCAGGTTTTAACGTCGAGTACAGAGTTTGTCAACTTTGCCTCCAATTTGTATATAACAGTGTCCCACAAACAGCTATGAAGGAAAGATGATTTCTACTGATGGAAAGTCTGTCCAGACACCGGTAGAAACCTTGTTCTTTCTCGAGAAGTGCAATGGCATCAGCATAGTCCCTTCATGTAAGCCGCCTGGACATGGGTTTAAGATCTCCTCGGTAGGATAAGCTACTCCGACAATACAGAAATCCAGGACTGCTCTGGAGTGTCAGCCCAGAACATCAGAAAATAATCCAGAAAATGTTACAGAGTGAGCACTTCGGTCGCTTTTGAATGTTTCAGTTTCGTGATGAAATATCTAAGATGTTTTTCATTATGTAGTAATAAATTTGTTAAATAGCTTATTATTCACGTTCATTGTATTTGCCTGCACAAACAGTGAGGCGGTGAGATATATTTTTTTCACACTGTGAGTTGTTCTGATCTTGAATGCATTGCCTGAAAGGGTGACAGAAGCCGTTACTGCAACAACTTTCTTGAGAGAATTGCTACACCGCAGAGAAAACAATTTAAGAGCGGCTACTCTTTGGTAAAAGGTAATAATATAGAATATGTGAAACATAAATTGTTTCTTGATCAACCTAAGCCTTGGGTTAATACTTTAGTCAGTATTTGTAAATTTCGGTTGAAGCAGCAATAGTGTATCTGTATGAACTATGTCAACTGCAACAGGAAGCACCTGTTACTGCTGCAAAGGAAGTTCGTTACAGAAAAAACGTGAGAAGTTATATGAGTTGCAGCCCGTGTTTTCTATGTTTATTTAGTGCGCCATCTGCTGGTGGCTTATAGTTGCATCAGGTTGAGAAATGGTAACGTTTCACCGCATTATTGTTTGAGACCATCTTGCCTTTCCTTGGTGCTATCTTCTCCACCGGAATTTTATACATTAGTCTCATTTCCCAGCTCGTTCGTCATATTTTTTGTTCTTCTGTGGAACATGCGAGTATTCGATGTTATTCACATTCTCTTACTTTGACGTGTCTCTTTGCTAGCACTTGCTGCCCCACTTGCTCCACCACTTTAATTCAATTCCTTGCCTTTTTAGTTCATCGATTATATTGTTTGACTGAACACTTAGCTGAGTTAGAGCAATTTACACCAGAGTAACAATAGAACATTTTACATCATATTAACAGCAGATTGGCATTTATGTTATTCCGTTCACGTCAAACGGACGTCTCAAGGCAAATGTGTTCACTGGACTTAAAAAGAAAATTAATGTTCATTCTGCTTTGTCGTAAATACACTAAATTGTTTTCTTTCTTTAGTGACTCGCCAATACGCTCCTCTAGACTGAGACTGTTCCAACGTTATATTATATAATGGCTGATCTCTTCATTCATATTCCAGCATTTTCTCGGTATCACTTGACATTCTGAGCTAAAATAAATGTATCCAACACAGTCTGGAAAATATGAATGGAAACAACATTGCCAGCTCCTTTGTGGAAGTTTTCAATATTTCCTTAAATTTTCGATTATTTTTCTCTCCCAATTTCTCTGCGACCTGGCTTTTTTCTGATGCACCCTTGTTCTGCATTCCCGCACCCAACAGAAGAAGCAGATGTTTCTATAAATAGGGGAAATATTTGTTGTCTAAACAATTTAAATTGAACTTGTTTGTTTTGATGTTCTCTTACATAATAAAGCAGCGTGGAAATAAACGTGCATGCGATAGCGTTCCCCAGAGGTAAGACATTTTTACTTATTACTTGGATGATAACATGACTACAGTTAATATCAATAATAGCAATAAAAGTTGCATTTGGTATAACGACATATCACATCTTCCAGATGCCACACAATGCTTCATAGAATATACCGTAAATGAATTGATTGCATATTGTGAGTGCGAAGCGCGGAAGTAATTTGTACACATCGGTATACCATTGGATAATGTTACCAATTTATTATCAACACGAAATAATTATTATCTCTGGAAAATCGATCCGCCAATCCATTAACAACCTGCTTCCTACATTCTGGTGGTAAACAGAGACGTGTGTGTGGTAAACACTGTGTGGAATAAGAAAAGTTTCTCAATGGTTCTTTCTCCTGGCAGTTGAACCAACGTCTCTCACTTGTGAGGCGAGTTCTGTAAACACTGAGCTACATGACTCCACATGGCAGTTTTTGTAGGGCGGAACTGCTGATCTGTGCCTCTGTGGGGCTCAGTGCACAGTAATACTCCGCGGAGTCTGTAACTCTCACTTGGAATATATTTAATGGGACGGTTCGCTCCGCTTTAGACACATTCGTTGAGAAACGTTCTTTTGCAAAGTCGGCCTCGTCTTTGATCCTGTTGTTAGTGTCTGTGCTAAGGATATATTCTGGAGCTATGATGGAATAGTGTCGGTACCAGAACAGATAGTCACTGATGCCGCCTGTAGCTGTATAATTACACTGCAGAGAAACATCCTCCCCTTCAGTCACTGTCACAATCGATTGGAGCTGTGTTACACTTTCTCCACCACATCGTCCTGGGAAACAGAAATACAACAACAACAATAATTATAATGTTGTTTGGTACAGCGCCTTATAGCCTCGTTGCTATGTCACCAAACACTTCACAGAAGATAACGTGACTGTGCATTTTGTCGGCGAGACGTGTGATCGCATTGCTAGCAGTCGTAGTACTTTTAAATAATTATTAGCCCCTAAATGAGATCCATCAATCCAGGAACTAAATGGCAGCTGTGTAAACGGATAATGTGCAGAGTAAGGCAACTTGTCAAAGGTTTCAATCGAACAGAGTTGCTATCGCTTGCGAGGCCAATTCGCTCTCCAATGAGCTACAAGAATCTGCGAGTCATATTACATATTGGATATTTAATGCAGTAAAAATTAAGCGTTGGATAATACGGTCAGGAACCAGTCTGACAGAACCAGTTCATCGCTTACCTGACAAGGTAATGATCACTGCAGCCACATAGATAAACATTGCCATATGTACTTAGTGGCAGGTGGCGATGATAGAGCGTTGATGGTGCAGTTGTAGTATGTTGACTGGGAGGCTGTGAAATGCCGTGAGGAGGGCTGAACAGGAAACAACATGCAGAAGTTAACATATACTGTAAGGGAACAGGTCTGTGGGATATGTACAAACTGTGTTTCTGTCATTGTGCGTCATCTTCTCTGCTCTGACATCTCGCTCCTCCATTGGTTCTCCTCCATCACTGACATGTCTTCGTTCAGCCGAATAGGTGTCTGATATCTACAGCAAGTTACACCCTTATTTCAGTTCATCAAAAACAATTGCGTGAGTTGCATATCTGTTTGCCATCTGTGCATGTCAATGTGCCTGTGTAAATGAACTTGCTTTCTTCTTCGAAGGACACATCTTGATTAATTATCTTCGCAGATCTCCAGGAAAAGACCGTCACGAGTTTTGGACAAGTTTCCTTTTTCCAAACGCTTAACAGTAATCCATCCAAAACAATAATAAATAGGTCAGATTCATTCCAAGACTCTTTGTGGTACTATGCTGTGCGCAATTGACTGCAGCGTTTCGCCCACAAATATACGGTCAATTCACTTTACAGTATAATCTGTGAAGCGCTTTGAGACGTCTAGAAGACGTGAACGGCGCTATATCAAATGCAACAGGTATTTATTATTGTTATAAGTGACAAGACTACGGGTGGCAAATCTATGTGAGGCTAAATTCTGATTACGTACTTTCAATTTTTTTATTAATCAAAGGGATTGATACGCCATCTGTCTACTTACAGGTTTACCATAATTTTCTCTTCATAAGCTGTGGAATATAAACATCTCTGTATCTATAATAATATTTGTTGCCTTCGATAGAGCGCCTAATCATGGATTCGAGATATGTCGATGCGATTCACAGCATATAATAGCAGTAACCACTATGATTATCATTGCGATTTATATATGACCTGGTCACATCATCGAGGCGACTGAAATGGCCTCCCACGATATCATGCAATATGAATTGATTATGCATTAGTTTGGAGCAGTGTAGCTGACAACTTCCCACAGCTTCGTTCCGAAAACTCCCTTGGCAAATTCTTCCCTTGTGAAAGGCCCCAACGGAATGTAATATTTCTAAGTATATTATCACATTCAATTGACTCAAAAACTATCCCATAGATTTCTGTCATGTTTTAAAATTATAAATTTTTAAGGGATTATTACCCTGGTAAAGCATACCCAAATCACAAAGAACCGGGTTCTTACTCATTGAAGAGTGGAGTGCATGTGGAGTAATGAAACTGGCCTCAGGTTTCTCCTCCTCTCGCCTGGAAATTGAACCCAGGTCCTCTCGCTCTACAGATGTAGGTCATTACAGTCCTTCAGACATGCCAGGAACACCCCGCTATTAACAAGGAAATTGAGGGAAACTAAGGGGCAGTGAGTGCTGAGCAGTTACTGTGATGAACAAGAGGGGAAATGCCGGCAGATCACTGGAGGTTTGTGTACGGCCTCTCCATGTGTTTGTCTCACTGTGTCTCCACTGCACACAAGTAGGTAGCGGCGTCTGTCACTTCTGTGCGTGTGATGCTCAGATTACTGCCCTTCTCTCTATAGTTCATTGTAGCTGTGATCCTCTCCTTCTGCTGCTCTCCTGTCTTTCCTGATACCAAGTGTTTGAGAGGCTGGTTCGGATACTGTCTGTACCATTGTAAGATGCGATTCTGTTCTGTTGTAGAACAGTTGATAATTATTTGTTCCTTCTCCACAACTGTCACAGTGAGTGGCGATTGGGAGACTGTATCCTGACCACTCACTCCTGGTAAATAAAAAACATTGTTTTCGTGAAACTCACCCATTAATTTAAGTAGAACTACATACAATTTCTGTAAAGCACACTCACCCCAGAGGGTCACGGCTGCTTTCAGGAGCAGGAACACTAAAGTGTAATCGCACTTCATAACGAATCTTTCAGCGCTTTGATGAACAAATGCAAGTTTCCTTTGAAAGCTTAATCAACTTTCCTCACTCCACACGCCTCTGTTTACAGAACACGAAGGAGGAATCCGATAGTCAATTGACGAATCGCTTTCAAGGTGCGATTTTCCCTCAAAAAAAAATTCGGACTCGACCCGCGACTGTTTGATTATCTCTGTTTTGTCCAATTGTTTCTCTAGTTTAGACCATACAATACGCAGTCACTACACTTTACAGTTTATCATGCGAAGCGCTTCCACGTGCCTCAGAGATGATTTAAGGCGCCGAATAAAACATCAAGTATTTTTATGATCGTCACAAGTAGGCAGGACGAGGTATTCAGTGGAAGACCCTGAGTGTGTGCAGACGGCTATACTATGTGTTGGCATCAAGTCCCCGGGGGCAGGTGTCAAGTTGACATTAAGTTGAAACGAGCCATTGCGAGGGGTCAAAGCGAAAGAGGAGGTATCACGTAATATCAGCAGTTTCTCAGACGTCTCTGCCCCAATTAGTTGAAAGTTTCCTTCCGGTCCATTTCCGCTCTATGCATCTGAGTTTCAGAAGTTTGGGCGCAAAACACAATCATTTATGGCTTAATTCATTGCTTCAAGTCATTTTACTGGGCTTTTTATTTCGCTGAATTACGCTTCATATATTGATATTGATTTTTGTTACGCTGGTTTCTAACATACGTGGAAACCCCTTCACCATGTTTATGATTATCCAAGTCAAACTGAGAGATATATTAACGTACCATGCTTTTGATATCGCGACGGATCACGTCTACGAGACGCCTAAAAGCGCTACACAGGTTATTGTGTCAAGTGCAGTGACAGCGTGTTATATGGGGGATACGTAGCAACGAATGGCATACATCAATGTCACACAAAACTGTGGCCGTTAGAGCGATAATATTTTTTAAAAAATCGATTTTTTATGTTTTTTTATTATTCATTTCCTTGCGTCCAAAGTACACCTGGAATTATTTTACATATAAACGAAAAGTTCTTGCAAAGACAATTTCAATCCATTTAAGTTCTGTAGCTTAGATGTTAGAGCACTCGCCTCGCAACCAACTGGATTTATCTTTGATTCCCAATCTGGCAAAACACAGTTAGTAGGAAAGCGGTTGGTTGTCGATTGGCGGATCGCTTTTTCTGGGGTATTGATACTTTTAAAAAATAATATTTTTTTCTCTCAATCCACGACAGTTTGATGTACTTCGATGAGTGCCGTTGGCTGCTGCGTTTCATCCACAACATATACAGTCACTCGATTTTGCAGCGTATCCTTGGAAGCGCTTTGAGACTTCTGGCAAATGTGGTCAGTCGCTGTATGAAATGCAAGGAATATTATTATTATTTCTCCGTGTTATTGACAGACTACACCACTGGAACTAAATCACTAAAAAGGAGAGAGAAGGTTTGATCTCAGCACAGATGTTCGTAGACAGTTGACCTATTTAACAAGTCCTGTTATGGTGGGGGAATTCGTGGAGCAAAGATATCTTAAGTAGAGTTTGATGAAGGCGCTGTTGAAGTGGAGGGTATTAATCTGAATATTCATATTAATGGTGTACAGTCCACAATGCACACTCTGGTAATTCTAACCAAGATTTTAGGTTTGATACTTCATCTACTGACATTCTCGTGAAATGCCAATAGATGTCGCTGTATAACAATACAAACATCTCATTTTTATGCAGCAGTTTTCGCATCAGTAGGAAACCTTATTAGTGCTGAGCACTGCACATAACGTGGAAAAAAAATGATAGGCAATTATCCTTACTTCACACGTCTCTTTGTTTATCTAAAAATAAGTAGGAGCCCACTTGTTACTCGATTCGTAGATAATTAAATCTATGTTTAATTGAAAAAGAAAACACATGCATTGACTTTTTTAAGCAAGAAAATAAATAAATGAGTAAAATATTAATTCGATCGCTCAATCTGCGATTGTTTTTGGGATACTGCTGTGCACAATTGGATGATTTATTTTTCCAAGAAAATATAATATCTATCAACTCTTCAGTATATTGTTTGAATCTCTTCGCGTCGTGACAAGGATCCATATACGATGCAAGGATTATAAGGCTGATAAGATGACAGTGGACTCCAACATGATCAACCTACCGCCTCTCCCTCACACACATCCCCAAACTGCTTTGCTCTCCCAGTCCATCGTTCAAGTCAAAAAATAATCCCAAAAGTGATTATCTTCTTATTCCAAAAGTCATTATTTTCTTATTCCAAAAGTGATCAGCTGCTCCTCATCAAACCGCTAAATCACCACAATGCTCAAGACCAATGATATTTCTGAAAGGAATAAACAAAACTAACAATCTTTGCATTTTATACAGCGCCCCATCACGTCAACGAGACGCCACCAAACACTTCACAAATATACTGTAAAGCGTCGAGACTGTTTTTTAGGCGAAACCATTGGCACGTTTCGCCTAAAAGAGGCGGCGTCCCATATTTAGTGATGGATTACTAATTCAATTATTATTATTATATGGCAGAGAATTTTTTCCGCTGGAAAGAGGTGAAACGTTCGAAAAACAAGCGGGTTGCACCTAACATTAAACAGAGGCGTGTGTGTGCAGCAAGGAAGCTTTACTAACGATTCAAAGAAAGACAGCTAGAGAGAGAGAGAGAGAGAGAGAGAAGAGAGAAGAGAGAGAGAGAGAGAGAGAAACTCACACAGACGGACAGCCAGAGACAGACAGACACACACACACACACTCACACATACAGATACACAGACACACGGAAATAGAGACAGACAGTCAGGAATTAATAGTATTGCTTGTATAATAATACAGTGCATTTCCATATCGTTAAATCGTGAAAAACTTCTTCCCATGATACGCTGAAAAGTGACCTTCATGTTCGCTGCCTTCTCTTCCTCCTCCATTATACCTTTGTCACCCATTCTATTCCCATGAATTATAAAACCACCGCATGCCATACTCCTTTACTCCAATTTCTCCCTTCACCTTTCCATCCATCATCACCCATATCTCACTAACTCTCTGCTGCCTTGACCGGCTTCCCCATCCTGCTGCTGGTCACTGTAACAGGACTCACTTCAAGTCAAAGGCGTGTGAGTAGTTTCTTTATGTATCTTTCCCAATTCCCAGTAAAGCCCTCTCTACACCAAACAGCCTTTGTCCCTCTCACAGTGTCAGATTATACTCCATCTCGTTGGCTTCCCCGTTAATTGTCTATTTAAACCTAAATGAGACTCGAATAGTTATTCCCAAATCGCCCTCTCTGCCCACTGCTCTCGGGCACAGTGAGTCAGTCCCTTTCCTCATGTATATTGTTACCCTCCACACCCCAAACCACCCCCCGCCCACCCCTCAAAGCCGCTGACACCAGCCATGATGTGACTTTGTTCATCACAAATAAACCAAGTCTCTCTCCAACACTCTTACAGAACAGCCCTGTGTTACTCACAGTCACTCTGAGGTGTCCGAGGCTGACGGTATCTCCCAGCGGTGAGAGGATGTCTCTCCTCTGTGTCTCCATCTCCTTCCTCTTCTTACAATGTAAGTGGTTGTTTCCACAACACAGCACTACACTGCAGCAGTGAATGTGATCAATACTATATTTGCACAATATAAATAATCCGTGTAATTGATGTATAGCGTTAAGATGTGGATGGGACGTCTCAGTCGCTTCAAACATTGGTTTGTGTACTGAAATAACTTTGTATTTTGTGGGCGAAACGCGGCAGTCAATTATTTTGCTTTAATTTCGTTATACATTACAATGATATGAACTAATTTATATTATAATTATATTACATAATCATGATTAAATTATATTTGCTGATATCAAGGGAAAACAAGCCAATGCTTGCAATGGATTTGCAATAGAAGTGGTCAAATTTGAAGATCTGTTAAACTGATGTAATATTGTGAATAATTTTCAGATGTTTTCAGCGCTAAAGTAACGCAAACACCGTCTCCTGTTTGGAGAGAAGAATGCGACTCTTTAACCATCAACTGTGTCTTCTCAGCAAGTTATCAAAGCGAATTCAAAAGTATGGAGTTTTATAGGCGGTTTCCAAATGAAAGAGATTGGAAACCCATCCTCGTGAAGGACGGTTTGTTGTGAAGACAGACAAGGGATCGTGGTCCTCTTCTCTGGAAATTAATGACTTGCAAGTTGAAGACAGCGCTGATTATTACTGTAGAGCTCGATATTACTGGGATACCACAATGCCGTATCTGGGCTTCCAACAATACAAAAAGCCCCGTCACCAACTCACAGGAAAAACACAGAGAATGTGAACTTGCCGATTAGTTCAGTGCATGTTCCTCATTCGTGTGTGATGTGCAGCTATGTTTAAGAATACTTCCTTTAAGCAGCGACAATCAGTTAGGAATACTTAGGAAAAGTGAGTGTGTATCAATCTGAAGTTACTACGTTGTTTGGATTCATATACCTTATAAATTATTGCAAGGGACAGACGGCATGCAAATTTACTGAGAAAATATTCAAAAGAATTTTACACGTTATGTGATTAATTGATCATTTATAAATAGCCGAAATCATTTGAATTGTTTTGCAAAACCTGTGTTTTTGTGTTCTTATTAAACACTGTGCTTGACTGGGGAAGCCACATTGGAAAACATCAGCACAATTACCGCAATGCTAATTTTCACGGAAATACATGAGACGTGATCATTGCTAACATTGTCCTGTTTTGTGCTCCAGAAAGTATCGAAAGTTAGCTTTCAATATTAATTATTTCCACATATTTTGTAGAATTATTTGCAGAAAGATGTTCTTCGGTCTTTGCGCTTTGACTGTGTTTATGTGGAAAACTTACTGAAAATAAGCATGATTTGGACAAAGGAATACTATACAAATGGGACTGTGTGGTATAAGTATAGGAATTTATTAACAATTTGTCTGCATTTGCTTGTTTTGGTGCCAGGATTAAACCATGACTCGATGGAACAGTTTTTGCA